TATCACAGTGGTCCAGACCAGACATAGCTTGCGCAGTAAGCATTTTAAGTCGTTTTACTGCTGCACCTACAAAGTTACATTGGATGGGTGTAAAGAGGGTTCTCAGATATTTAAAGGGAACTATAAATTTAGGTCTTCAAATACAGATTACTGAGGAATTGAAATTAAAGTGTTATGTCGATAGTGACTATGCAAATGAAATAAACACAAGGAAATCAAATTCTGGGATTATAATATTGTTTGGAGGGACTCTGATTGGATGGAAGTCCAGAAAACAAACAACTGTTGCTATTTCAACAGCGGAAGCAGAGTTTATTGCTTTAATCTGAATTGTGTTCTGAAGTAACATGATATGTACAGTTGTTGCAAGATTTAAATATTAATGTAAAAGAATCTGTAAAGGTATTTGAAGACAATGCTGCCTGTATAAAAATGGCAACTGGTGACAGGGTGAAGAACAGAAGTAAACATGTAGACATTAAGTATTGTAATGTCAGGGAAGCTGTAAAAAGAAAATTGATTAGTTTACATCGTTGTTCTTCTGAGGATAATTTGGCAGACATGATGACTAAACCATTGGGTGGTATTCACTATGGAAAATGTATTAAGTCAATAGGTCTGATGTCTCTTCCTGTCATGAAGGGAGGAGTGTTGGAATATTCATGAGCAGGAAGAGTCATGTGGTAACTCAGTCAGCCAATGTGAGTAAAGTGCTACTGAGTCTGTGCAAAAAGGTTATTGAGTTAGAAGCTGGGTTTCAGTTTCAGGTCTCTGGTCTGTCTCTGCTGTAAGAAGTCTTCATTTATGCTATGTTGCTATGAAGAAGAATATATGGTATTGTAAATATTTTTATATGAATATAAAGAGTTTATTTGAATCAGCTAAATGCAGTCAACTGTGAGAGCTTCTGATTTATTTTTACCAACAGAAATTAAAATTCTCTAACAGTATGTCTAGTCTAATGAAGAGAAGGACCAGGGATGACATCATAGCAGTGTTCCAATATTTAAGGGGCTACCACAAAAAAGAGGGAGTCAAGCTATTCTCCAAAGCACCTGAAGGCAGGACAAGAAGCAACGGATGGCAACTAACCAAAGAGAGAAGCAACCTAGAACTAAGGAGAAATTTCCTGACAGTTAGAACAATTAATCAGTGGAACAACCTGTCTTCGGAAGCTGTGAATGCTCCAACACTGGAAGTTTTTAAGAAGAGACTGTACAGCCATTTGTCTGAAGTGGTATAGGGTTTCCTGCCTGAGCAGAGGGTTGGACTAGATGACCTCCAAGGTTCCTTCCAACTTTATTATTATTATTATTATTATTATTATTATTATTATTATTATTATTATTATTATTATTATTATTATTATTATTATTATTATTATTATTATTAATAATTCTTTGTTATCATTCTGCATTATGACATATCAACACTGTCCCTCATCCATTCTAGCAAAAAAATGAGTGACTGCAATGTCATCTGGATGGATACTTGTTGATTAGAAAAAAAAGGAGAAAGATAAGCTGAAACAGTGAATGAGGCAAAAGCAAGTCCCTAATTTACTTTCTGATCAAATCTTTTAATCCCACACTTATTCCTTACTTTATAAGTAACTCAATGTGGTAAACATGCCTAATACTCCTTCCTCATCCTATTTTCCCCACAACAACAACCCTGTGAGGTGAGCTGGGCTGAGAAAGAGTGACTGGCCCAAAATCATTCAGCTGGCTTTCTTGCCTCAGATGGAATTAGAATTCAGAGTATCCTGGTTTCTAGGCCAGCCATACACCAAACTGGCTCTCCAATTAATATAGTTGGGCTGGTTAATGATCACAATAATATAAGTAGTTAATGTTGGACCTAGCTTGGTAGCCATTTTGTGGAAGTGCCTACAACATATTTTCAAAATTTCAAATGCGCCCATTGTTCCAAAAACATTAGAGAATCATGACTGTTTCACATCATCAGCTTAAAATATATATCAAAACAATCAGAAATGTAATAAATTCAGTGTAGGCCTTTGATACCTTCTATGAATTTGCTTGTCTTCAACCTCTGAAACTTACACCAGATATTTAGAAAGATTTACAGTGATCATGAAACTATGGTAACTTTGTACACTGGGGAAAAATCATTAAATTGAAATGTTTGTCTATTGGAGAAACTAGGAAATCTCTCTCTCTTTTAGATCCTTCATTTAGTTTATAGGAAGGATATCAGGCTTCCTATAAATATATGCCATCAATATGACATTCTCACATTAGCAATCAATTATGAAAACATCCATTGTAACAATTATTAACATTAACTTTCCTGACAATCTAACATAAGTGTTGCTTTTTAAAAATTCAAATTACATTTTTGACTACTTATATTCTTCAGTACCTTGATAAGGAAGCCAGAATTCAGCATTAAGAGCCCCCTCAATTCAGTCTCAGCATTTCAAAAGTGAACATTGTTGGGAAGAAAATATTTAATCACATGCAGTTGTCAAAACTTGCACTTCTTTTTAAGAGTTTAATTAGGCTTTTTCTACAGTACATTTTTGCTGAAAGATTTAAGGAAATGGCAAAACACAGGAATAATAACCCTTCAAAATATTTATTTCCTGTTGGAACTATGGAGTTATTTGAACTAGCTGATTAGCTATTTGAAATGCATTTCTTGCTTATCCTTGTTCCATCTGCATGCTGAGGCTCACTAAAGATTTCTAACAGCAATTATTCCATCAAAAAGAAACCTGGGCCATAGAGTGGGGAAATGCTGGTTGTGGGGAAAAGATTTGCATTGTACCTTATCAATCTTGGAAACAATAATTGAAGTGCACCTTAAGGATAGGCTAGTATTAAAGTGATTGCTGTGAAATCCATATGCAGTAATCACTTCCATTGTTCAGAGGAATAAATCCATTTATGTGGTTTTAAAAGGAATTCTTCTTGCATGAAAAATATTAAGAAAACCTTTCTTTGCTTACCGGAGGGTCCTGATCCTCTGCTTCCACTGTTGTGATAACGGTGCCTTTGATTGCATCGGGAGCAACCATGCCCTTGTACAGAGTTTTGCTAAATATTGGGGAGTAGTCATTCATATCCTGCAAAACATAAAAAGGATTATCAAATTTAGAATGAAGTTACGAACACACAACTTTTTTTTAAAGCTTAGGGTCATTCATTCTGCCCTCTCCCCCAAGCAGTCCATTTGCCAGTACCCATTGTCTGGATTCTTAATTTGCAACTGTCTGTGCTCCAGTCTGGTGCTCAAGAGGAAATTTGCAGCCCAATATTAACTTGTGGTTGTTCATCCATCAATTTCGATGAAGACCTTGACATCTTATGGATTATGGGCCATCAGCGGTGTGTCCGTAGATGGCTGATGAGACCGATGTTAGCACGGAATGTTCTGCCACATACTGAACAGAGAAATGTGGAAACTATTGCTTCAGCATTTGCAGCTCTGGCTTTACGGAGTGCTCGCTTCTCTTGTGCCAAGATTGTCCTTCTGTGTTCATATGTCTGGCAACCCTGGTAAACCAGGGTACGCCATGTCGGTCGATCATGTGCCAAAAATTCCCAAGAGATGGTGTCGATATCCAGGGACTTGAGAGATGCTTTCAGCGTGTCTTTGTATCGCTTCTTTTGTCCCCCGTGCGATCCCTTTCCTTGAGACAGCTCACCATAGAAGAGCTGTTTAGGGATGCGATGGTCTGGCATCCTTACAACATGGCCTGCCCAGCGCATCTGGGCTTTCATCAACAGAGTGTAAACTGATGGTAGGCCTGCTCTGGAGATGACATCTGTATCTGGTATCTTATCCTGCCACCGGATCCTCAGAATTCTGCGAAGGCAAGTCATGTGGAAGTAATTCAGTTGCCTGACGTGCCTCCTGTACACTGTCCAGGTCTCACTGGCATACATTAGGGTAGTTAGCACTGCTGCCTGGTAAACCTTAAGCTTAGTAGCAAGGCTTATTCCACGGCGATCCCACAATTGCCAGAAAACCATTTTGTCTCTTTCATCATAAACATTATAGCTGATCAAACAAACACTATTCCAAGGACTGCATCAATTTTTGCAGCTGATTCAATTCATCAAATAGCATCCTGGACTATAGCTTTAATTAACTACATAAACCAGGTGAGTAATATTTATCTATGACAATGATAAAGTTGATTGCATTAATTTATATTGTTGTGTAGTGGGAACAGTGAGGCATTGAAGACACAGGGTTGAAGTAACAGCTCTTTATTCGGTTCACACAGAAGCAGCTCTAGCAGCCGCTTGACTTATATTTATACGGACCGCCACTAGGCGGCAGCCAATGATTTCAAAGTATGCATTCCCACCTAAAACAAAGGCTTACAGTATATACAGACAAACAGTCGAGGATTCAAACCAAACAATTAGCTAACCATTTTTATAACAGACCTTATGAATACATGACACCCCTTCCCCCTAGATAATCACAATCCATAAATACATGATACCCCTTCCCCCTAGATCAGAGCTTTTCAACCTTTTTACGAATTGTACCACTTTTAGGATATGGCAATATTCGAGTACCACCTAGCAAGGTGTCAAAAACTTGATGACCAAAAAAAAAAACCCTGTTCAAAGTTGCAATTGCACTGAAATGACTTATGACCATTTTTCACAATTATGACCATTGCAGCATGCCCAGGGTCATGTGATTTATATTTGGATGCTTGGCAACTGATTCATATTTATAATGGTCACAGTGTTCTAGGGTCATGTGATCCCCTTCTGCAACCTTTTGACAAGCAAAGTCAATGGCAGAGCTGCTGGTGGCCAAGTGCTAAGGCGGGACTTCCTTTCCTCCATCCCTTCCCTGCCTCCCTTTTTCTCATTCCCATCTCCTTCTGAAGGAAGAATTTGAACCCTCCCCCCATATTTTCCCTCTTCCATATATTGATCAAACAAGGAAAGGCCTCCAGAGACAGAAAAGACAAGCTGCTGAGTGAACTAGCTTAAAAAGGCACATTCCCCTTTAAGAATTAGCTACTGGCTAGAAAGGAAAGTAAGGAGCACAGCCGGCACTTAAGGAAGAAAAAAAATGTAAGTACTAGCTGCCGGCTAAGGCAACCTCCCCAAATGGCTCCATTCATAAGTAAAGGAATGCTACAGGCAAAATCCATTCAGGAGAAAAATACTTCAAAATCCCTTGCAGCAAAACTTACAGCTAACAACAGCAGAGCTATAGATGCTAACACGAGACATCAGCCATCAGCCAAATAGAAATTGCCAAACACTCCTTAAGAACACAAAGCCCTCATTGCACAAATCCCAGAACTTCAAAGTCACAAAAGCACATAAGAATCCTTCCACTCTCCATCTCCTTCCCTCCTCCGTGCCTCACCTCCAGCCATTGCTGCCTTTTTTCATTCCTCTTGGACAGTGACCCCTCCCCCGGGTGCATTTCTTGCCTGTTTGCTGCTGCCAGCACAGGTGGCTGCCACAGCAGTTGTAGATCGGCTCATGGCCAGCCTGCTTGATCTCCTCTCCTCCCACCCTCCCCCTCCTTCTTCTTCCCCTTCGGTGCAGCTGACTCTGCCTCCTCCCAAGGCTGCTGCTTTTTTCTCTCTCTCCCTCTCCTGCCCAAACTGCCTCCTTTTATAGGCTCTCCTGTCTCTGCCCCCCTCCTCTTTTCTCATGGGGGAGGGTGAGCCAGAAGTGAGCCTGGGGCCTTTGCAGCTCCAGAGGACTCTGTCACTGTAAGTCCTTGCCTGTGCTGGCTCTTTCCCTCCCCCACTACACTTGGCTAGGCAGGGTTGCCTGCCACTCATTAATGTACCACAAGTGGTACGTGTACCACTGGTTGAAAAGCCCCGCCCTAGATAATCACAATCCATAAAATGTACATAGTCTTTTAGATAGGCAGGTGGCTTTCGCAATCGTTCTGATCGCTGCATTTCTGCCGGAGGTTCCCGGTCTACCCTTGGCTGGCTGGGTAGACCAGGACTCCGTGACCCGCTAGCTATGGGTAGACTTGAGTCTGGTCGGGCCAGGTAGACCAATCTCTCTTTGGTTCCTCTGGCCAGTATGCTTTCAGCTGGTCTGAATTGCTGGGAAACAAGTCCGCAAACAAGTTCTGAGGGCAATGTTACTCCGGACGGTGGCGACTCACCCAAGATTGAGTCGTCCTGCATGTCTCTGTGAGTCTCGCTGGACCCGGGAGACTCAGATGCGCCGCAGCTGTCATGCAGCTCTTGACTCTCCTCTTGATCAGTGACCAGGGTTAAATTAGCCTGCCGCCGACATAGTTGATCAATGTGGTGGTGCAAAACGGGTCCATCTTCCAGGACCACTTTGTATGACAGTGGTCCTGACACCTTGCAAACCACAGCTACCATCCACGGTGCCCCTTGACCATAGTTCCTTGCCTAAACTCGGTCGCTGACTTGCAAATTCCTCGGGGGCTTGGGCTGCGCTGTCTCAGTTGCCACTTGGTCCGGATGGAGACGGTCCAGCTTCGTAGTCAGCTGAAGTCCCATCTGAGTTCCGCTGGGCTACGGCCCATTGAAGTGCACAGAGTTTTGCGTTGGCAGAGCAAAAAGTCTGCCAATCTGTGATGCCAATCGCCCTTTGTAATTCTTTTAAGTGCTTCCTTGGTCGTCCTTACCATCCTTTCCGCTTGACCATTAGAGGCCGGGTGAAATGGGGCAGAAGTGGCATGTCTAATCATATTAGACTTTAGAAATGACTGAAATTCAGCGGCAGTAAATTGTGCCTCATTATCTGATACAATTACATCAGGTAAGCCATGTGTGGCAAAGATCCTGCACAGTTCCGGGATGGTCCTGCAGTAGTCATAGTAGGGACAGGTGCTACCTCAAGCCATTTGGAGTGACTGTCCACTACAATTAGGAACACCTGTCCTTGGAAGGGTCCTGCATAGTCTATGTGAATCCTAGACCAGGGGGTTTGCGTAGTCTCCCAGCGATGTATTGGAGCTTGAGGCATTTCAGGTCTGGTCTGTTGGCAAACTTGGCATCCTTTAATTTGAATATCCTTATCCAACCCTGGCCACCACAGATATCTTCTCGCGAGTGCCTTCATCCTGACTATTCTAGGATGTCCCTCATGCAGAGATTCTAAGACTCGTTCCTGGCCACCTCCTCAGCACCCAGTTCAAAACACGACTGTTTTGTCAGTGGCTGTCTCAGCAGCCACATCCCCTGCATGAAGGGGAGATTCTGGCAAATCCTGAATTGACAGGATGCATGCAGCAGGTGCGGGATCTGGTTCTGAATTAGGCAGGGGCAACCTGCTGAGTGCGTCAGCATGGCCCATTTCCTTGCCAGGCTTATGAACTAGCCTGTAATTATAGTGTCAACGCTGCTAATATTGAATATTCTTGCTTTGACAAAATATGCAGAACTGTCTGGTATTTTTAGAGTTAATTCAGATGACAGAGAAAGGGAGGAGTTTAGTAAGGAAAGCCCGGGAAAAGGAACGGAAGTGAATCTTTGCCCTCCAGGTTAATTGGAAGATGTGAATCATGACCCCAAAATAGGGGAAGGGAAATGCCTGGAATGTTATGTGCAAAGGGAAGGGAAATTCAGATCTTGGCATGATGTCATGTGTCTGACTAATGAAACACTTCAAAGAACTTTCAGGCATGGTTTAACCTAAAAAAGCCTTTATTAGTGTAGAGGCGTGTCAGCACGGCATGATGGATGCCAAGATCTGAATTTCCCTTCCCTTTGCACATAACATTCCAGGCATTTCCCCTTCCCTATTTTGGGGTCATGATTCACATCTTCCAATTAACCTGGAGGGCAAAGATTCACTTCCGTTCCTTTTCCCGGGCTTTCCTTACTAAACTCCTCCCTTTCTCTGTCATTTGAATTAACTCTAAAAATATCAGACAGTTCTGCATATTTTGTCAAAGCAAGAATATTCACTATTAGCAGCATTGACATGTAGACTGCCATAAAGATTGACCACCTCAGCATCCTTGGAGACAGGATCTGAGGGGTTTGCTTGTCTGCAGTGAACAGACCTAGAAGAGGCTTGTGGTCTGTAAAGACCGTAAATGGGTGACCATAAAGGAAATCATGGAATTTCTTTATTC